AGAGAGTGAATTAGTTTGGTATGACTGATTTTCTATACAGCTCGATCTTTTCATCTAGCGGTACTCTGAGATTAGCAAGCTACTGAATTAGTGTGACGTGCAGTGTAGTTAAAGCACTTCCTGAAATTGAATGTCTGAATCGTAGTTATGCATTAGTCAGATTTGTGCATGGTTTAGGAAGGACCACACAGTGCCTTAAATGAGGAAGAATGGCACGATGCAGTTGATGCGGCACTAGAGAAGGAAGATTTGGAGAATCGACGTGTCGAACGGCTGTTGTCTAATAACCGCTCTTCTGCTAAACTCAATTCCTTTGACCGGATTGCTCTTAGCTGCGATCACCCGCTCTATGCTGAGGTTGACTATGCCCGTACATCGACTAACCTAATGGCGTGATGATTGTTACAGATCGACCGAATAACCCAAGAGCAAGTGCGATACGCCAAGCTAGGAGTCAGTGAGGGTGTATGGCAGTTGTTTTCAGAAGACGGCGAGATGAAGATGTACCGCAGAGAACTGGAAATCGAAGGCCTCGTCTGTGATCCACTGAAGGCCGTGCACACTGTCAAGGTATGTATGGCGCTCGGTACCTATTTATCGGTCTGCCGAATCTCTGCGGTCTGCGATGATTGTTGCTGTTGGACCATTGCACTGCGAATGCGGTCGACGAGTGAGGAATTGTTTTAGCTCTGCCAAAAGGTACCTTTTGAATAAAGCCACTTAAGAAACGTCAGTCAGAGACTGTTAACCCGTTTTAAATTGAAATAAACCGAGAAATTCGAACTTAAATTCAAAGAAAGTTTCGTGTTGCCTCAGAACTTCTTTTATATTTTTGCTTTTTTTCAAACTGCTGTTATTAAAATTGTCAGATATTTTCTCAGGACGTTCGTGGTGTTCAGCCGCCCGGAAGCTTTTCAGGCGCTGGTGCTTTAGATCACAAAGGCGGGCTGGTATGCTCGACTTAGTTGTTTCTTCACAACTGCATTGAAGTTCGTATTTTTGTTCAGTGCATATAATTTGACAGGCACGCGCTGCCCAGTCCAATTACCAGCCTATGACATGCATAGCTTCATTGGTCGGACACTGCTGATGTGCTGAGAAAAAATAACTACATGAGGTACGGACTGCAAGTAGCACAAATCATTCAGTCCTGCCAGTTTCAGCTAGGACAGAGGATGGATTTTTTGCGAAATAGACGATATCCTCGTCATCGTTATTATTTAAGACATGGCACTGACCGATAAAACTGCTTTTCGGTCCCAGTGCAGACGAGCAGCAACCAGCAACATCGCAAAGAGAAACTCCGTCAAGCGCCCTAAGATCTAAGGCAGAACGTAACGTCGATATCTTGTTACTTCTCAGTAGCTATTTATTAAAGTTATTTGTACGGTTTTAACAGTTATGTCTGAGACAGTGAATGTAAAAACAAAACACTCCAGAATGTGAGGAGCTGGTGACGCTGATGGAGTTAATCTAAACGTGTATTTACACCAGTACGCATTTATTTAAATTTATCTTTATCACTCAGTTTTTCTCGACAGTTTTGAACGCAATAGGTAATGCAAATTCAATGCTTCTTTATAGGGCGTCACTGCGCTGGAGTTTCTGCACTACTTTTTCGAGCCGGAGTACAAGCTGGACTGGGACAGTGCGCGGTAGCGGCTTGTGTCATTTCTGTGGTACATTTTCTTTTTAGCGACGCTGGAAGACGTGCACGTTGTGGAGACGATTGCCGATGATACTATGGTTATTCACCAAGTACACAAACGAATTTGGCCGGCCAGTCAGAGGGAGTCTCTTTTCTGGTCGCACATCCGTCGCATGGACATGATGGCTGATCCTGAAGCGCATGATCTCTACGTTGTCTGTAACCACGACACGGTGACGTCCAAGGTTCCGGTAAGCAGTGCAGTGTTTGTGTTCAGAATATACCGTCAGGATTTAGCTTTTACATTTTCGTATCAATTCTTACCTACTGTCATTGAGTTAGACTAGTTTCTGGAATACCCGTTGTTGTATTCATTTGCAGCGTATATGTAGCATGACAGGCTTCTATAATTCGAAGGCTTTATACCGAACCGATGAACAAGGTGTTTTCTGCATAAAAGACTTCGCGTACTTTCGTGCATAGAACAACCATGGAAGGAAATTGAGTTCATGCATATTGCAGAACTGCTTATTCGTTTTTGGTAGGGTGACAGCATTTTCAGATGTCTGTTTCTTTCTCCAAGATGTGCAGCTCGCTCCTAGGTAGCGCGGTTTTACCTAATTATGTTATCTCTCTGAAGCTTTCTCTGAGTTTGTTACCGGTTGATTTAGACAAGGAGTACTAGTTTTGATATCCTCTTCTGCTGCATCCGCAAAATGCCTGATATTTAAGTTGAGACTTTCATTCATATGCAAGAGTTAATGTATTTCATTTCGGACTCTGCCGAATTTCTCAACAATTCTATTTCGTTTACGATACTCATGAGTTTTTTATTCAGTTACCACCGCTGTATAGATGAAGAATCGCAAATAAAAATTTACACTTGATCTAAGAATTAAATCCTGTTCCTGTGACTTGCCTGAGCTTTTTATATTACTACTCTGGGTAGCTAGCATAAGATTTTTCTGACCTTTTGGATCTTCATGTTAGATCCGGTCTTTTCTTTCCGTTTTGTATCACATGAAAATAAAGGAAAGCTTGGAACCGTTTGTGTCGATACTCCTAACCGTTCCATGATTTGGAATGTTTCTTAATACCCTTCTTTCGTAGAGTCCATAGCGTTCTTCTTGACGCATAAGTCATTAATGCTTGCTTGAAGGAATTGTGTAAATCTAGGTAGTCGCTACAATTTGTAGCCTGCTGTTTCTATCTCATCCAGTAATCATTTGTTAGCATAAACCTGAAATTCTTGAGGTTATTATTTACTACCTCTTTCAGTATTTCTCAGTAATATAGACCGACAAAGGGGTGGAGAAACCTACTTAGTTTTAAACATGTTTATTGCATGCCATTAATGTAACCGTCAGTTTTGAGAGATTTGTAAGATACTCACATTTTTAAGAGCTCCTAGTGAGCCACGGCGGATGGGTTATGAGGTGTTGGTTATGCCTGTCATACTAATATCATCGAAATGCTGTGTTGATAAGAACTGAGAGATGATGTGAATTTAATTGTCTTTCTGTGTTAACTGCCATTTACGTTTCAGGTCAACAGTAAAACGATTAGGGTTGGTTTGACGATTGCCATGGTCTGTCAGACATTTTTCACCGAAAAACTGGTTAATGGATTCCCACGAAGTAGAGACTCGTTGGTCTGCAAGATAACTTACGTTTCACAAGGTAAGAATAGTAGCGTTTGTGAACAGTCTGCTTAAACTTCTGATCGGGAGAAATACACTCAACGCT